GATCATTTCTATAAATGAAATAATTTGAGTCCTTCTTAACCTTATGGTCAGGTTTAAGGAACGTTTCAGTTATAACGACAATATGCACGTTATGAACTCTCAAAAAGTTAAATAGCTCGTCTTCATTATCTTTAGGAGATCGAGCATTCCAATTTACAATATTTAATGCTTTAAAATCCATTACTGAATTTTAAAGTCATGACAAAATTGTTTGCAAATTTTACTCCAGTTTGAATAGCATCAACCATGGAGTTAGATTTAAGCATTTCAGAAATCATGTCAATTAATGATTTCTGTAAAAATTCCATTTTAGGGGCAGTAATGCTTCCTAAGTCAAAATTGTCAAAATTTCCGTTAGAATTACGTTGGTTAGTATTTTGATTTCTACCCGTTGCAATAGTAGCATAGGTAGCTCCATTAACTCGCTGAACATTGTTAGCAGCGAGAGGAGTAGGTACAGATGAAAAATTTGAGGCAGGTGTGATATTTGTACCTACGGGTACGAATGTAGAATTTGTTCCTCGCTGACCGTTGTTAACAGCAGAGGGATTTGTACCTGTTCGGAAACGTGGAGCGTTTCCTACCTGTCGCTTAGAACGAGATTGTAGGATCGCTTTGCGAGTCTTACATTCCCAAAAATTAGATTTGTGGTTTTCACCACAATTTGAACATTTAAATTTCTTAGGATCTTCCTTTACAGGACAGCCGTCCTTTGCGTGAGAGGAATCACTACAATTCATGCATTTAGCTGGCATGTAGTAATTTTTAGTTCCGTGACCCCATCCCTGGAACTTACGGCACTGGGTGAGGTTTTGGAAATTTCCTCCAGTCATCCAGCATGCAGGGAAGTAGCCAAGCTCCAAACATTTGTTGAAGATAACGGTAAGATGGTTGAAGAAGTCAATACTCGAGGTTGACTACACCATCCATACCCGCGGTCTTCATGTTATTAGTGCTTCTAATAGCTGCTATCACCTCATCAGCCGATATTCTACTATCACCATGCACTACTACGGTGTCAGCGACTCTAGACATTGCCACCAGTACGGCAGGCTCATGGGGGCTCACCATGGTTTTGTGAAATCACAAAATGTTGGCCAAGAGCATTGGCCTTTTCAACTGGGGTTATGAGTAGGGATGGATCCGAGTTCTGGTCAACAGAGGAAAGTGAAGGGATCGGTCTCGATTTATTTTTCAAAATGGTTTTGCACATTCTGGGAGAGCGAATCTTGTTGGCAGGGTTGCTTCCACTCACTTGCTATAAAAAATATTATTCAGAATTATGCAATCATTAGATGCAATAATGCTATGTTGTACTTGTAAGTAACAAGAAGAGGTAGTAAAGTATGTGTTTGACTCATAAAACCTGTCAATTTCGCTTTGAGAGCGTCACAATTAGATGTTGCTCACGAGTCGTAAAATCGTTGATTGTGATACACTGAAAGCAATTTTGACAGATTTTATGTGTCAAAAATATACTCCATGACCTCTTCTTGTAACTTACAAGTACTAATTAGCATTATACTATATCATGATTTCATAATTCCGAAAAACATTTTTTATAGCAAGTGAGTGGGAAGTAGCCCTGCTTGTTGACAATATCTTTATTTCTAAGTTCCACCATCATAGCGTGGATAATTTTGGTTAGTCTATTGACATTGGTCTTCGAATGGGGCAGCCCAGAATGCTGGAACTGCCTACGAATGGTGTTACGCAGCCTGATTAGATCTTTGGTTAGGCTGTCAAGGTTCAGATTATGACTCACCTGTCTGGATGCTGGTACGTGTTGCTCCCTGGCACGGGATATCGCCTCTTCGATGGTTTGCAGAAACCGATCGACTTCTTCGAACGACTCCGGTAGGACGTTGTAGTCAATTGCTGTGTCCACACAGCGCTGGTACTGCTGCCAGTTGACACGATGGTAATTTCGCCGGGAAACTTAAAACCTATTGGCCTACTTCGGCCACCACCGGATAGTGGTCTGAGCTCAGTTCCTGATAGGCGATAGGTTGAGAGATGTTATCGCCAATGTTGCTGATGAAGATGTCGATGGTGACGATGGAAAATACCGACGGAACAGCTCAACAGTCGAGCAAAGAATCTGCCACGAGCAAAGCTTCTCCTTCATCAGAGTTCTTGAGGCGATCCACACGCCATGCGATCCAAAGCAAGAATGAGCACAGTTCTGGCTGTGTTAGGAAAGACACCTTGTGGTCTAAGCATATGTATGGGAAATTTGGATGCTACCAATTTTAGTTAAACTTCTTAGCGGTTTAACTATGTTAATTATGTGTACTATATGCCATAAAATTGCTGACAGAAGCCTCCGTCGAATGACATATTTCACATTAATTCTTTGGAGAAATATGAGTTCAAAACCTGATCACTTTTCGTTACATGTTCATTTTTCGTACTCGCAAAATGTACACCCATATAGAATTAATTAATTTAGCTTTATTTAGGAGGCTTTCAGCCTTAGGCTGGTTCGCCTCCGACGTCCATATAGAAAACAAAGACGTTGTCCAACGTCAAAAAACCGAGAACTCTTAAGATGTTCCGAGAATTAGTACAGAGGAAGTACAGAGAATTTCGGGGCCTCCCTTAGCTCAGTCGGTAAAGGCGCAGCTACAAAGCAAGACCATGCCTGAGGTGGCTGGGTTCGATTCCCGGTCCGGACTAGGAATTTTTCCAGGTTGGAAAATTTCTCGACTAAATTATGAAACTATGAGATACTATAATGATAATTTTTATTTGTAAGGAGCAAGAATACGTGGTAAAGTTTGTGTGTGTTTTTTTAATTAATTTATTTGATAAGGCTCAACCGAATTAACTTTACAGAGCCGAAGATTCTTGTTCACTATACAATACATCTTAAAACTATAGTCAAAATGTACAACACAATAAACATGTTATCTTCTTCTTCTTCTTCTTCATCGGATTTCAAGCTTATTGCTTATGGCCTGGGGGGACGTGCTGTCAAATCAGCCTACTGATCATTCTTGTATGAAACTGGTTCCAAACGTAAACAAACGCTGTAGGTTTCTTTGGCTTGTTTACGTTTGGAACCAGTTATGTGAGGTAGGCGACGCACTTCCACAGTTATTAATTGAGAGCTTTCGATGCCTACTACCATTTTTGCATTATTATAATTGTATGGCAAGTACAATCATACTCTATGCCCAGGGAGTCGAGAAATTCTCCAACCCGAAAAATTGCTAGACCGGACCGGGAATCGAACCCAGTTACCTCCAGCATGGTCTTGCTTTGTAGCTGCGCCTTTACCGACTGAGCTAAGGGAGGCCCCAAACATGTTATTTTCCGCTGTCCAATAAGCCTCCTCCACCAGAACGGGAGCCGCCTACAGTGGTGATGATTGGCACTCGATTGTGGAACATAGACCGACGTTACATAAAAAAAAGCTAAACGTTCAAATGACACAACAGTACAATGTTTAAAAACTTAAACACAACATTATGTCTTAATCAACAAATGTAAACATAAATCATATTAAATTGTGTAGGTCCACCATGCATAAATTCACGATGCTGAAGAGTCGAACCAACTAAGGGCTGAAAGTCTCTATATATATAAAGCAAAAGAAGAAGAAGAAATACATGATGGAAGAATAAACAACATGCGTAGGTAAATCCCTTCGATGTATGTTGAGCCATGCTCAAATGACAGCTTACAATGCTAACGTGTGTCTCATCACTCTTCAAACTGACAATGTCTTTCGATACGCTCCATCATAGTAATGTTTACAAATCACATGGCATGCCAGTTCCCAATTACAGCCATTTGGATGTGATACGAGAGCGACAATGAAATCGAAAGAACTCAACTGGTCTTGTTCGAGGAGGCACGAGTCAACAGTCCATAACGCGTTTCGCACATCATGTTGCCATTTATTTCGAATGCATACCCTGTGTGCACTATGATTTACCGATTAATACTAGACCATGTTGTTTGCTAAATCTCACAGTATGCGTGAGTATGCATGATTGAAATCGTCTGTTGTTATAATGACACATGTTCATAATTGAAATGTCTATCGTATTTATATTGAAATAGTGAACATAAGTGATTAAAAGAGGTTTGGTGGGGTGAATACTACAAATTTACTCAGTCAATTGCTTAAGTTTAAGGTCAAGTTACGTAGATAGCTCGCGAGGTGTAATTAATGAGTTCGGGACGGTGTTTTGGAGGGAAAGTTGTTCAACGAGTTAGGTATGTTTGTCTGTGTTTCTACGTTCGCTGAATCTTTGGCTATCGTTGTAAATAGTCATATTACAACAATTTTCTCTGTCATAGTTGAACAAACCGATTTTCTACTTTAAATTACTTCATCTAGTTTTAATCACCTCGCGAGTGGGCAGATCAATAGCAATATGGGCCAGTACCCGGACAAGTCGATTTCCACATTGCAATGGCAGCTAAGCGCCATTGGCCTTAGTGGTTGGTTATGACACGTGATATTGGGCTCAAAGTGTTTAGTAAAACTAAAACCCAGAAGTAATTCGAAGCACCATTCTTTCTTACCACCTAAGCTTACGGGTGCTGCTCTAGATGCTAGGAAAATAATTTTCGCATTGATAATGTGCGCGCAACGATCGAAGAGCGAGTGAGCGGCGGGCCCAGGCTGCTGCACGAGAAGGGCGAATCGTTTCACATTTTGTAAAAGTACTTTTACGGATATAGAACATGGTGGTGAACGATCAACCGTTATAACTATATGCATGATCCAATTGCAGTTTTATAGATCTCATGCAAGGCGGGAGTCGTCATCGTCGAGTGTGGGCTTGGAATCAGCTGGCGCAATATAATTATGTGTAGAGCCGACGGTAATCAAAAATAGCAATAACATTCCGTTTAAAATTTACTTTATCCCCGGGAAATGCAATTGGCAAGTGTTGGCGGTGGGTCGTTTGGTTGGTTGTGAACTGATTAATATTCCAAATTGCCATGTTTATCTGATGATTGAAATTAAATTCGACAAGCTTGTTTCAGTTACAGGTATCAGCAAAGCGTATGACTTTAAGCGACAATTGATCGGGGCTGTGATCACTACTAGATTGTATCCATGGCGGGGTTCAAGCTGAATCTCTGGTTTAAAGTATGCTTATTATCAGTCATCTTATCGTATACCAGCGTCAGTACGATCGAAACACCAGAACCTTCATCTCTACTACGGCCACGTGATATCAATCCACATCCTTACGGAAATGCCTACGATGGTGTCAGCATCTTTGATAAAAATCTCGTCATCAACAGTGAAAAGTTCATGGACAACTTACTGAAGTATGATCTGACCTTTTGTTAAATAAAAAGCTATGTAGATTTAATTAATCCAAATATTTCAGCCAAGCTCCCATCCAGTTCCCACGGATAACCAACAGTGCTGCAATGAATGCACTGCCCCATCCATATGAGAAATTCGCTCTCAAGGAACGACTCGCCAAAACGGAACGCTTTTCCGGGGCAGACAATCAAATCGTCAAACCGGCATACAGGGCCCTTGCCAAGCATGCAGCGCGTGTTCTGAATCGTCAAGTAGGAACGAGTTTCGCTGACGATGAGATTGATAATTACAATGTAATTACCGCGGTGCTAATCGCACATTAATTGTTTGGCTAATCGGTTTACCTTGTGCCTTTTCAGGAAGCAACCAATCTTAAGAAACATTACGCTTTCTCCTACACGGTGAAGGACTCAGCGTCGGGTGACGATTTCTCGCACAGTCAGCAACAGCATGTCGATGGAGCCGTTAAAGGTAGCTATAATGTTCAACTGCCCGATGGACGAATGCAGATCGTCAAATACATTGCTGATAATAACGGCTACCGAGCGGATGTGACCTACGAAAATGAACATAATCCGAATACGATCAACCACGTGACTGCGGCTCCTGCAGTGGTTCAAGTTCCAATCTCAGTGGTTCCAGTATCCTCTCCTCTGGAATCAGCGCAGCCCATTTATAACTACTACAGAAGACTTCAACAACGACAGCAGTACGTTCATCAGCCAGCTCAAATTCAACAAGCTCGCCCTCGACAGGCCATCTATTATGCTCAGGCTACACCTACACAAATCCCTTCTCCATACTACCCAACTCAACTGCGAGTCAATGACGTCAAGATTCACAGCTACAATACCGGCCCGCATGCAAATAATCTCATCAGATCTACTATAGCTCCGTCCCACAGGGCGTACATAGCTTATCAACCGGCCTCGAACATTGCGTATGTATCATCAACTCCAAACCCAGCTCAAATCCAATCCAACACGCTTGCTCGAGCTGGCCTCATCCCGGTAGTCGTAACAACTGCCCAACCAGCGGCTTATCCCATCTACAGGGACATTAACGTAACCCCACCTAGCATAGGACCAACTGTTCGTCGTACCACCATCTACGATAACCGAGGTCCTGTAAACTACACTCCGGTCGCACCTGTGCAGAGCAGTCAAACCGCGCCAGACTACGATTACGTACAAATTCCTGCCAGCAACCACGTGTATAAACGAAACACCGACAAGGACAGCCACGTGACTACAAGCTCAGCACAATATCAGGGCAAAAATAAGTCCTCGGAGTAATGCGCACGGAGACGCATTCAATGAATAGCATCATAAAACATAGTTGTATGTGTGGGGTCGTAACAGCCCCGCAGAAACAGTATATCTCTACAATATTGTAAGATTAAAGAAATCACTTTTAATTTCTACCGCAACGTCTATTGTAAATAGAAACTTCCCAAAATAAACTCAAAGAGAAATATAAGGAATAAATACACTGCCATAAGGAAGAGAATAACTTCGAACTCATGATGACAGAGCAGAAAATATCACACGGTCAGAGATGTGAAAGTAGAACCATTTAGCAAGTTAGCGCACGTCATTTAACGCCTGTCTTCAAATCCATGCACCGATCATGCTATCTGTAGACATAAATTCTGTATAGTCATTGTGAATAGTGATTATCAGCAATGATGGTATTATTTTCTTCAGCGGTCAGCCACCTACATATATTACTAATTGAATCGGTTGGTTCGAGAAGGTTAGGTTGAAAAACAAACTGAACTCAATTGATACTCAAATCAATTAAATTACGATTTAGTCACTATTTCCTCCAACATAGATGGAGGACCAGTGTTGTCAAGTCTACGGATCAGTGCTGCAAAATTTCGACACTAAAAACTGATAATAACAAAACAACCCTGGTCACTCATTTCAGCAGAGAGTCACCATCAGTAGCAATCAATATCAATTGTCAGTGATATTACTATCAGTGACGACGATGTGCAGTTTTTTCATTTTCTGAATTACTATCGAAATCAAATTAATTTAGCAAAACAGTTACATAGAACCATCAAAGTGAATACGAATCATCATCATTATCAGCCTGGAGAACAATAATGTGACACAGAATGCGCAAATTCACAGTTTTTTCACCAAGGGAATCTTTGTCACTGACAAAGAAAAGAGTGAGATTTTGACAAAGGAAATTTTGATTTTCAGTTCTATCAGTGTTGCTGCTGAAATGAATTTTGTCTATATCCACTGAAGTTTTCTCAATGAAAACGACAAATCGCAGCACTGCTACGGATTCATCCGTAGATTTCAGGAATATTTTATTTACTAGTTACTTACGGCCGACCTAAAAATTCTACAGATGTTCGATGTGCTTAGGGATTTTTTCTAAGGCGCTGAAGAAATTCTACGGATTCTCAAAGTGTTGGCTCATCTTTGTGCTCACCATTTTAAAAACATAAAATTATGCGATCTTTTTTAACTCTTTATTTGTTCCAAATTTAAATTAAATTACAATTAATTTTAATCTCGGTGCTTAACCCCGTACAGACTATGGCTTATATCATGTAATATAGGCTGTCTTGCAATGAGCACTCATACATAGGATTTCCAGTGAAAACTAGATGCATGAGCCATTAGCTACTACACTAACTAACCAGCCTTAATTATTATGATATATATCTAAGTGTGTTTACATTGTTCCTGATTTGGAAATTCAGTATTTCAAACAGGTTTTATATACCTGCACTGCAATCACAAATCAGTCCCATATGAGCTTTCGTCAATTTTAAGATAAAAACGCTATCTACTATCAATTGGCATCTACTTTCATATTACGTGATAAAACTAGGAACTAGGAACCAACTAGGAATCATGTCAGTTTGTCCCATCAAGAAAGGTAATCGTATATCAGTTCCATCCAGAAATTCAATCGTCCAGAGGTCAAGTGCTAGCTCTGCTTATTGATTCGCCATATTTTTCGCAGATAGAACATGCAAGCTTCATGGTAACTGATTTTAACTTCACAAAATTATCGATTAATTTACTATGATTTTTTAAATATTTACATGGAAATTACCCTTCGTAACTTCAACTGCCATTTTTTCAATGCCTACTTTTCCAAATGTGACTGATATAGGATTAAGGCCCACCCACATTAGATCCGTTTACGTTGCGTTGACGTAAATTTGACAGTTAGACAATAGACACTTTGCCGCAAAGCTTCAGATCCGGATCTAATGTGCGTGGGCCTTTATAGCCAGTGCATGTCAGTATAAAACGCTGTACAGACTGGAGAGTTATAATATGTTATAACGGTTGTCAAATAATTGCAACACAGAAACCACCATCAAGATAGCGCTATAACATGTTTTAACTCTGTAGTCTGAACGTACTATAAGGTATAACCATTGCTATCTTAAAACTAAAAACTAAAACTATAGTTTATCTAAATATACATAAAGCGAGAATTAATCGTTGAAATTGAGGATTGTAACGATTTTTGCGTGAAGTTATTAATTATTTTGTTGGACATTTGTTCTAAAGCCTCAACATTCGAAATTATAAGTACTTCAGTAGTACTGTACCAGTAAGGTAACTTCAAAATCATCTTCAGAACTTTGTGCTGAATCCTTTGAAGTGCTTTTTTCCTGGTAGTGCAACAACTAGACCATATTGGTGACGCAGCATAAAACATGGTTAGTCTAAAACTTATTTAAATATTAGAAGCTTATTCGTCAGGAAAAGTTTGGATTTCCTGTTTATAAGCGGATACAAACATTTTATATATTTGATACATTTGGCTTGAATGCCCTCAATGTGATCTTTAAAAGTTATTTTTTTTGTAAACTACTAATCCAAGATATTTCACTTGACTTTACCAAGAAATTGGAACTCCGTTTATAGTTACTATGTGACTACTAAAGACTATGTATTCGAAAAAAAAATGCAACAGCCAAAAATGTTCACCAAAACTTCATTTTAAGTCGGATATTTTTGAAACTTTCAGGGAATAAACACATATTAGCTATGTTTTTTTGCAAAGTTGGTTTATTCAACCTCCTCTCCTAGGCTAAATGCCCACACCTTGGACTTAACGCTACCCATCAAATCCTGGGCAACACTTGCGCCATCTTTCTTACACACTTTCATCCACTCTTTCTACAAATCATTGTCGTTTTTGAAGACCTTCCCTGTTTTCCGGAGCTTGCCCTTCATAATAGCCCAGAATTTTTCTATTGGGCGAAGTTCTGGCAAGTTTCGCGGATTTACCTTCTTCGGTACAAGAACAGCATCGTTGACTACATACCACTCCATCACCGGTTTCGCGTAATGGCACGATGCCTGATCCGGCTAAAACAGAGTGTCGCCTTCGTGGGACCGGAGGAAGGACTGCAGGCGCTTCTGGGGGCAATCTTCTTTATATATTTCGCCGTTGATGGTGCCGGTCGTTATGTACGGCTTGCTGAATTTACCACACCCACAGAGCGCCTGTCACACTAAGTACTTCTAAGTACTAAGTACACCCAGGCAGGACTTGCCGACGAAAAACTCCCGGCCGGGGATCTGCTTGGCATCCGTTTTAATGTACGTCTCGTCGTCCATTATGATGCATTTCGGCTGCACCAACCACTCGCGGCACAGCTTCCTGGCGCGGGATTTGGCCACCGTATTCTGTTTATCGGTTCGGTTAGGCGCCTTTCTTACCTTGAAGACATGAAGTCCGGCCCGCTTTATTGTCTGCTCGCCTCGATACCGCTATTCTGGTTTCCTGCAGTCTTCCACGACGACAGAGAATCGCCACTACTCATGCAAGGTGATTGTGGAAAGGACGGCAGTAATGCTGCTTGTACCTCAGTGGGATTGGCGTAGACTTGCCGGATATTGTATGGGCCAAAGCTGTAAATGAAAGGCCCTCTTAAGAAGGCCTTTCCTATTGTACGTAGATCATGGTCTTTCCTGACCAGTACATGCGTTTATTGAGCACTAATGGCGATAATACGAGCTCCTGCTTCCATTGATGATTATGATGTATGGAGGCGTCCTCTTATTGCTCCATGAATGGTGGTCTGATCATGAGGGAGGCTGCATGCAACTATCCTTGAGAGACAAATCACGCTGATTACTCTTTCTGTCAATCAGGTGGGTGGTCCTCATTCACGGGAACTAGATCTATCGCCACGTACTTTCAGCAATCAGCGAAATTATTTCGCCAGCACTTTTCGACGCCAACCACACGATAGTAATGCTTTAACAACAATACCCGTCCCATTGTCTACTACGGGTATTTGTTCTTGCAAAACGGTTCTTCAAACGAGTTCTTGCTCGTTGTACTTATAATGCGATAAAACAACAAAATAAATAAATCGTGAGCGACTTTTCCAAAAATAACGAAATTAGTGGGGAACAAGATGATGGTAATAAATTTAATATATTTTTTTCAATTGCGTCTAATAATGGTTCAGATTCAAACACAACGAATTTAAATGACACCAGCTTCAGTTTCATATATATAAACTAGAAATAATTTAAAAAAAAAAAACGATTATTTCAACTCTTTCCATGCTCTTTGGAATTTCGAACTATGTTTCAAAATGAATAAAATCTAAACCACATAACCACAACAACCGATCACTAGATCACGCACGATCGAGGTTATCTCACCGACAAACGGACATGAAAATTAAACTTAACCCAGACAACCAGAATGCACGTATATTCAAAGTTGTTTTTGTGATATACAAACATATATACAAACAAACAAGTCGTATAGAATGCAAAGAAATGGCTTATACGTACAAAAGTGGAGGCCATATACGTGCATATTTTCGTTTAATTTTAAACGAGTTGATTTAACATCATATGCAATTTGATCTGTAATAACAAATCCATTTTGAAAAGTCTTACGATGTAATCCGATTAAATTTGTGATACAGTACGACGGAAAAATGAGTCATCGCATATAAGTCGGAAATTTGCATTCTATACGATTTAACTTAAACATAATGCGAGGTATGCCATTCTAATATGCGATTTTGACTTAAACTGTAGCAATTTACGATACTGTCTGTACATTGTTATACGACTTCTGGTTGTCTGGGAACTTTTGATCGAGAATCCATAACAGTCGATTCAAATGTGTAGCGATCCCATCGGTCAAAACCATAGAAATGTTTATCACGTTTTACATAGATAAAAATAATTTGTCCGAAATAGATTAGACACGAACCAACTTATAAATTTTGTACGCGTGTTCGTGTCAGTTTTGTGCTTTGATCAGAAATTTCTTTGTAATTTGTATGATCATTCATGTCGGTTTATCGGTGGTATTCTCGCCGGGTAACATACGAAAATCGAGTACAATGATAATAAATGTATAAGAATGTGTTTCAACTGGAACAAACTCACCAAATCTTTTCATGTTCGATGTCCAATGTTGTGGTTTCATACATTATGAATTCAAATTGCATTATTCATTTAATGTATCAATGTATAATTCAAATTCAGTATATATAAAACATTCTGCAGCCTAAGGAAGACGGACCTTGAATCATTCTCTATGATATCATCATTCCGCGCATATTTTCCTCCAGCCTATTGCAGCCGCACAATAATTAAATATGATTCTCTTTTCTTCCATACCAGCTTCCATATCATTTTCATTTTTGCTTGACTAGCACTTTCATCACCAATCCCGGTAATTCACTCCGATCAACCAAAAGCCAAGCTCAAACACAGCATGATCGAATATGGTTGCGGTATCTATTATGTTACATTACACTCCGAGTTGTTCATCGCAGCTCCGGTTGCTGTTGCCATTTTGTGAAGAATCCGGAGGAAAAATCCGGAGCTATTCTGATGTTAAATCCAACAAATTTCTGGAAGAATGCTTTAAATACTGAAGGGCATACCAATAGGATTTCTGATGAATATGGAACTATGGAAAGAAATAAAAGCAAATTCTCGCGAGAATTATAATTAATACACAGAATTCTGAATCTGTTAAGGAGAAACTTTCTAGGAAATAGCGGAGAGAATCATAATTATAAGGGTAATTCTGAAAGTAGCTCTCACGAGTCACGAGTCAATAAAAAAACATAATCTTTGAATGTATTTTGAAATCATGCTAAGGAAATCTTTAAGAAATTTCCAAAGATATCCTGAAATAAGTTCCGACGAAATAATTTAGTTAATTCAGACGTTGAAAATTGTACAATATACCATACACAGAAATTCAAGTCCAAACAAAAAATCACGCCGCAGGGCTTAGGAATCGTTTAGGGTTTTCACTGGAATCTTGGACAATCATGAACTATAAGTCAAATCTTGACAAATTTCCGAAACTCTGGAAAAATTGCTATTTATTTTCGATCTCGGACTCAATTTTTGAAATCCCGTAGTAAAGAAAAGTTCAGAATTCCAAGCTTGAAGAAATATTCAAGATTCTAAGTGAAATATTTGATAATTCGACCGGTTATTTTCCGGTCTATTTTAGATTGCCGGTTTTCCTGATTCAGTGGCTACCCTGCGGCCCTGCTTGTTCTCCTAACCTTTTTTTAATGCGACGGTTAGAACGAAAACGAGAATACATAAACAGGTTTTGCGCTCTTTTTACCACATGGTTTGATAAAGGAAGTTCTTATCTTGCGTCCAAAACGTCAAAAACAATAGGGAAAGGTTTTACAGCTGAGTCATTAACGAAAGAGCAAGTCGATGAAGAGAATCGATAAATGCAAATAGGACCTTTTGAAATGTTTATCTAGATATGGGTGAATAATACGGACATGTTAAAATTGGTTCTTTCTATTGCCCCAGACTGTAGCACCATTATAGTACAATATTTTTTTTTTCCGAGAGTTGACCAACTGCAGTCTTAATAGGCTAGAATCTCGGTTGGGCTCTCCATGCGATACACAATACTTTCAGACGACTCGAGCTATGGTGCTCACTAGGTCACTGCAGCTTTTAGGCTCGTATTGTGATCAACTGTGTGTATTATATTACGACCATAAATCCGGAGAACCCCCAGATCTGGGCGCAATCGCCCCTGTAAACAAACACGTCAATCGTCGGCCTCCCACGAACAAAAGAACAATCCTGCAAACAAACTATAACAAATCATAGAGGAACTATTCTTCTACCTGTTTGTGTTATTAGTTTTTCCAGACTGAGCCCCAATCCGCGAGAAACCGACAAATGACGTGCCCATCCACAAAAGCAACTACGCTCCAACCTCAAAGCTCTCCGGAAATATGTGATAAATCATGTAAATGTAAATGGAATACAGTAATGTCCCGATTTTGTCAACCCCCTTTTTGTTTTAAATGTTTTCCAATGTTCTACAAAACCCATGCCCTTTTTCAGTAATCTTCTTGAACCTATTGCACCAAAGTATACTTTAAATATCCCTCTTAACGAATGACGAATGAGAAAAATTTAGATTTATGGGTATATGAAATTATTGAAAGAAAAAAGTCTGAAGCGCGGAGGGGCTGACAAAATCGGGTCATTACTGTATTTAAAATAAATAAATTCATTCTTACCTTTTTATGGTTGTTTGATTATTAATTGCTATTATTACCTGCTTAGAGTTGACTCCTTTAAAATACTGTGTAGAATTTACCTCATTATTCCTCAGTTCTATCGATTTGTGATAGAACCACGCTCAGCATATTATCCTGTAGTACGACTTGGGCATGCACCATGCAAGTAAGTCATCTCTCGTCAAAATGATGGGATATGGGGTGATGGTGAAGGGATATAGAAAACGAATAAAAGAACAGAAAAAAAGGTATTAGTATTGGTTACATTAACCACCCCCCCCCCCCCACACACACACACACACAACGAAAAAGAAACATAGATGCACAGACAAACAGAAATAACACATTTAATATTTTTCTCCACAAAACATAGTCACTAAAACACTACCGCCATCTGTTGAGTATCATGTGATGGATAGTACGCTGAACAGATGGCGCTAGTGTGCAGACGTCAAACGCAAGGGAACCGACCGTGCGCGTCACAGGTGGCGGTACCACCAACCAAAAACACCCGAATTGACCGTCAAATGCGTATTCGATGAACAACCTGTCCAACCGAGTGTTATGTCTGTTTGTCTATGATAGATGGGTTATTAGGAAAGTACAACTACATTATAACTATTAGTGCAATGGATGAACGTTAGTTTCGGGGTCATGTTAGTGTTAGAGTTTTGTTAGTATTGACCCGTATTCAGCCCTGTCGGCCCCTCGAACACTAGTCGCAGGCAGTTGTTGTTAGGACATGCGACACTGTCACTGCTACTATGTTAGAGGTATGACCCGTCAAGTTTCGAAGTGCAAAAAAAAAACTGTTAGAACTTTCTTATAAATTAACTTTACACTCAAAGCAAACTATTTACCTTAGCATTACAAAAGCGAATTTAAAATTACTATTTTATTTTATGCTAATATTAAAATTATGATAAAACTACAATTTACGGCTCCGTGAAATTAACTCGCATGAACCTTTCAAATCAATGAACTGGAGAAAAACTACAATTTTATCAAATTGCAAAAAAAAAATCATAGCGACACTTGACAAATCATCATCAAGCCCCTCATCCTTGGACAGGGCATTATAGTACAATAATGATATAAAATTTCTAAGATTTTTGAATTCGGAAAAGCCGTGTTTTTGGAATCATTTTTATTTCCGGTAGTGTATGGTGTAGAACTGAATTCGTACGTTTTTATAATTCGTGTGGCGCTTTCGTATTCATTATTGTGGTATTCGCTCACTTGAGAGCGTCATATCTAACACAACCACGCAGGTAATAAACAGCTGTTACGTACGTCAGGAGCACGCGCTTGTCTAGTTCTAATAATAAGCAACTCAGTCAAGCTGGGACTTCCCTAATAAAAAAATACCATACCCGAACGATAATCCAAATGATTGAACTATTCCTCAAATGGTTTCGATGATACCCTGAGCACGTCGTTAAGCAAAATAATCATACAAATTTTATTAGGGTTATTCTCGTAGGTACAAATTATAAGCATTGAGAGCACATGGTGCAATGTACACGGATCGAAAAATTCCTTTTATCATGTACACACCCGGATGACGCCCTTTTTATGGCTTAATTGATAATGCATCTAAACTTTGGAGACTGGCGATAAAGACACGTTTACCTACCCAAACAGAATCAGTGACGGTCATCTAAAGTCAATGGAATTGTACACAATCACCAGCATAAGTTTTTACAAACAAAATAATTTATTTAGGTGAGCACTACTTAGTAACTGTTGTCACAATAAATCTTCGTTACATAGGTGTGCTAAAACCGGTCTCATTCTTCCATGTAGCTTCTTCAGATCCTGCCTATAATATGTATGTGTAATATGTGCTAATCAATGTCATTGGAACTGCATGCAAGCCACACCAACCATCGCAGATTGGAGGTTGAAATTTTGCTGAGTCACCATGAGTCTCGCGACCAACTTTGGCTGTTTCGTCGACATCATCGCATTGAAAAAAATCTGTTCACTTTTCGCTTTTCCTCTTTGGACTACACCCATGCATGCAAGCGTAGAATGGGGTTTTTCTACCTTCTCCTCTGATCCTCTCTAAGTTGACATTGATTTTCCTCCTTTTTTTTTACCTCCACTTAGGTAGTAAAAATATGCTAAAATCACAGCAATTGATCTTTGATCATACACTTGCTTTGTGTAGCATTCACGTTGGAAAGGTTCCTTTTAGCTTATCCTCTCAGGAAGCAGGTACAATCAATCGAAAGGGGCTAATAAATAGATGATTTTCGTTCCAGAGATGATTAATACTTATTTACAACTGTAAAAAGAAATAGAAGGATTTCATCAGAAAGCGTTTGGAGTGAGAAATGATGAGAGTTATTAAACTTATCTGATAGTGTTAGTTCAATGATTTTATATTTGCAACATTTTCTTTAAGACTAGCTTAATATTTAAAAGCAGTTTAAGTGAATTGTCTATTGGAAATGGATTGCAACTCAATAACTTGTTACATAAATACAGAAATTTTTATAATGCAGAGAATCAAGAATAATATTTCTAGAAACATGAGATTCGCAAATAACTTTTAGCAATATGATAACATTTACTAGGATTTGTTCAAAATTCAATTAAGACTTTGAACACGTAAATTATTATACATATGATACTTAAAGTTCAAACTACAAAGCGTTCTAAATTAAATCTACTTTTTATCAAATTGTGAGCTCATTGCAATGATTAAGCAAAGTGAAATAATACTCTCGTATGTTAGTCTGTTAATCTTTTAGAAAACAAACACTTATCACTTACCTATAAACAACTTAAATCCTAATCAGCTCATACATAGCACCGAAGTATGGCCCTAATCATGTTTTTTATTGAAGATGTATTCGTTCGCCATTGAATAGGCCAACCCCAGAGAAAGGGCGCCCACCACCGTACCCTGAGCTGCAACACGAAGCTGCATCAGGAACACCGACGTGGACATCCCTCCACGGTTTTTGTACTTGTACGCACCGATACCGCACACGACAGCTAGCCCAGCCAGACCAATCGGCATGAACGGGGATTCACGCGCCTTGCGAGCAAGTTTATCGCCACTGTCTTCCTCCAGGCCGGGATGGTTCACCATTGCCAAAGATCTCTGCATTTTGCAACGAAACGTTTCAGGGTAAGAACGAAATGAAACTGATCAGTTCGACGGGTAACTTATAATAGGTATGAAATACAAATAGCGATAAGAAAACTGAAATTCCACTAAAACGCGAACCTATGTATGCGTATCCCCACCACACTGACCAACAATTACGACAGGACGGGACGCATCGTCAGACACGTGTGACGTTTCGTCTCGTCTCCCCTATTCAAGGTCAAATCATAGTAGCTGACGGATCCAAATAAACTTTTAGTCTATTGGGTAGTTACGTCACGGTCTTTTCCCTGCTGCTGTACAGGAACTAGTTCTTTGAGGTCTTAAAACTTACCTGATAAACGGCACGTTCGTAGAAAAGATGCAACCTGCGGCTTCACTGCCGATGGGGGGGAGCTTCGGTGGGGATCGGTGCTTGCAAAAAACGGAGTGATGCAATTTAACCACTTTTGTTTAATGCTCGAACGTTGCCTCTCACGAAGGTGGCTCTCCTTTTCTTGGTTTGACAGATGACAGCTACTGGTTCAAAGTTGGTATCTCACTCTCGCATCAGGCTGGAAGCAGTGGATTAAAAAGTAAACAAGTAACTCAGCTCGCACTCGCGGTTGAGACGGTAAAGATTTTTCTGATATCTATAACACACACACTTGCGTAGTCCCATTTTCAAGTGAGAAGTTTGTTTTCCTCACTTTCGCTTCAGCCAAAATAATTGTTTGTTTATTGGCAAATCAAAGTTGGCTCTCGTGGAGAATAGAAGAACTATGAAAGTGATGATGGTTTCAAAATTTTCCACGGGGAAGTATACGAGTGCAATCTTAAAATGCTTTTATTTTGTGAATGGTGCATTTTATTTAAATCTGGTTAGTGCTACGTTAGTAGAAAACTTCAGGACTACTCAATAGACATATAATACAGAAAACATAATTTCTTCTCAGATTTTTAGGTGTAAACATAGACTTCCGCTTTTCTACCACTGTAGCAGTAATCAGATTTAAATAAAATGCTCCATTTTCAAAATAAAAGCATTTTAAGGTTGCACTCGTATACTTCTCCGTGGAAAATTTTGAAACCATCATCACTTTGATAGTTCTTCTATTCTCCACGAGTGCCAACTTTGATTTGCCAATTGTTATCCTCACTTTCGGACCATCCATAATCGCACATATAGAAAGGACTAACGAATGACATACAATTTTAGAATGTTTTATTTATAATATCGACTCGCATCTCACCTAAAATTGAGTTAAGTATACAGTGGCTGCCCGATTTTGGTAACACGACATTAGCAATTATTTATTTCTATAGTCGCTATAATATAAATAATAAATAAATTTTATAGTCTGGTGGATAGAATTTCGGGAACCAATTGAGGTGTCAAATAGGGGAATCAATATAGCATATCACGACCAACAGCAGAAAGGAGCATATAAGATTTTACGCTTTTACGAACAAAACTTTGGAAACCGTTTTCTCGTGACCTAATACTAAGCTACGCAAACCAACACCATCATGAAAGTTTACCTTATCCGATGATAAATATAGCGAACAAAGTTATAATAGGGGAAATGAATGTAATGTCGGCCTAAATGCCCCTAATTTGGGCCCATACATAAATTCAGCAATCGACTAAATTTTCAATAGCGACCAAAAATATCCATTAGTACCGTCCCAATGACGCGTTTATCTAGATAAAATTGATAAATAGCAGATCTTGATCATGCCATGCCAATCTCTTAAACAATTAATAACTATTATAATTACCGATTGGCTGAAAAACGATCTGCTGCAAAGTTGTAGCTGATAAAATGACTTATAATAATAGTTATTGAACTTTTCAACAGGGCAATATGGAAAATGGCAAGAAGACAATGAACACTTATTTTGGATTTCCCATAGTAATTCCCATATAAACTTCAAATGGTTTGTGCCAAGTCATTTTCTTACCAAATGAGTTCACATTTTGGAAAGCTAATGAGGACCCGATTTGGAACCATTTGAGCACTGTGGAGCGAAAATTTCAAATTTTGCATCAGTATAACCTACACACAGCATACGCATACTGGTGATCACAGATCGGTCATCTGGGAGATCCGGAACATCCGTAAAAGTCAGGGTAAAAGTGTTCAATTCGTAAAAATGATTCTAGAGCTCCACGAGTTTTTCTAACTCACTTGTTGTGCTATATTAATGAATTTATATTTAAGACCAGCATGTGCACTCTGCTGACCACGAGACGGTCCTCGGGAAGATCCGGATAAAAAGCTCCGCTTTTTTTTACGGCACTTGTTGTAATGCTGCATGAATGAATTTGGATTTAGAGCCATCATGTACACTTTTCCGGCTATGGAGAGGTTCTCTGGAATATTAATAATATCCCTAATAGTGGTAAATTCATTTAAAAAAATCCAGAGCTCCGCGAATTTGTGGTGATCCGTTGTTGTGATGAATGAATTTGGATCGGAGACCAAAATGTGTGCTCTAGCGACCAAGGGTGGTCCTCCAGAAGATCCTATACTTACCAATCAGGCTAAGGGCTTGATGTCCTCTGCTGTTCGAAAGAGTCGTCTCCACTCTTCTCGATCGATGGCCACACCTCACCAACCTCGTAGTCGATCCACCTTGCCTGCTATGCGCGTCTTCTCCTTGTACCAGTTGGGCCACTTTCGAGAACCATTTTCACTTGTTCGTCGTTCGGCATTCTAACGACGTGCCCAGCCAACTGTAGTCACCTAATTCACGATGGATGGATCTCCCAGCAGCTGGTACAATACGTTGTTCATTCGCCTCCTTCTCGTTCCGTCTTCGCAACACCTTCCGTTAAAAAAAACCACCGATGATTCGCCGAGAGGCAGATTGTTTTATCCCACACTTGAATAGCAACCCATGATGCGGTTGCTGCGTTATGGTGGAGGTTCCTAAAACAGCTTTAAGGGGGTTGTAGTGGATGTAATGTCGGCCTAAATGCCCCTAATTTTGGCCCATACATAAATTCAGTAATCGACTAAATTTTCAATAGCGACCAAAAATATCCATTAGTACCGTCGAAATGACGCGTTCATCTAGATAAAATTGATAAATAGCAGATTTAAATCGATGGGCCCAATCTTAGACCCATAGGCCAACATTAGAGCCATTTTCCTTAATACACTTTTTTTAACTTTATTATAGAGATTTTTAGCCAAAGGCTAGTTCATCTCTTCACATAATATGTACACAGTTCTTCTTGAATTCTGAATATTTCAAAAGGTCATTGGGTATTGATCAATTCTATTCATCTACTTTTTCAATTTGATAACCACGACTGTGTCCCTTTTTCACCTTTTTTATGGCATAGACCTGTTGGTCCATATTGAACCACGACTGTGCTAACAAAATTCCTGCTATTTTTTGCCACATAGGTAGTTTGATAAATGAGGTTCTTACCTAGCGTCCAAAAGGTCAACCAAAACAGGAAATAATGCTTTTTGCAGTTGAGTTATGAACGCAAGAGAAAAGTATGTGCATTGAATTAATTAGTTTGATGGAAACTATTCGTAGTTTTAAAATATTCCTCGATTACTGTTTCCAAGGGACGTATCAGCTTTTGTAAACAATGCATTTGATAATCGATTTTGCGTAACTGGTAGCTTGTGGTAGCATGCGTGGGCGTAAGTGGTAGCCAAATCGTCGATCAAATGAAACAACAAAAGCAGATACGTTCCTATGAAAAAGTAATCAAGATTTAAATTTTTCAACTTAGATTGATTTTTTTTCTTCCTTTAGCTCTTGACTTTCGACGTTTCTTACGCGAGTATTTTACTAGCTCTCAGCATACTATTCTTTGAAGCACTTAACCAGTTGTTAGTTGAAATATTTCTATGTCAACCAATGCAAGAATTTGTCGATTGTGTGGCAAGCACAATGATACTCTGCCAGGGAAGTCGAGAAAATATATATTGGGCCTTATTTATCTAAGTCGAGTCGAGCGTCACTTCTGATCACTGGTCAATGTCTATTTTGGTATTACTTCTGTAATACCAAATTAGACCAGTGACCAGAAGCGACGCTCGAAACGACTTACATCATAGGGCCCATGATTTACCTAAAGGGGATTTCTTGCTATGTACAGTCAGGCATGGAAAATCATTTGCATTCATTTCGTGCATTCATTTACATTCATCTGCCTCTAATTTTTTTCAACATCATTCCGCAAAATGATGTATAAAGCTTTTGTAGGTTTTGTTATTAGCTATAACTTTTGTTAACAAATCAAATCCTTATCTCTTATGCATGATGAACCAGAGCGAACAGAAGCCACTACTGTTTTTCAGTGAATGTATTTTACATTCACTGAAAAACAGTAATAAGTTATGTCCACTTTAATTCATGATGCATAAGAGATATAGATTTGAGTTATTTGCAAAAGTTGTAGCTTATAATAAAACCTACAAAAGCTCTATACATCATTTTGTGGAATGCTGTTGATGAAAAAAGTTAGAGGCAAATGAATGTAAATGAATGCACGAAATGAATGCAAATGATTTTCCATGCCTGTGTACAGTCATTGAAATAGTAATCCGTTCCCATTCATAGCCTAATGTCTATTCTAATGAAAGGATTAACGACACCAACTTTGCCACTTAACCGTTTTTGTACGGTTACCTACCCATAACTCATAACTCCAGAATGTTTTGATCTGAGTCAATATGAACAACCATTAAGATGAACCAGGTTACCTACACTACATGACTTGAAAGGCATATTGGACAAAATCTTCAATCACTCCGAAATTTTGTTGATTTATTACACAATTGGTTGTACAGATATTTGTCTACATTTAATCATCTCGTTATTTAAATGTTTATTTTCCGAAGAGCTGTTCCGGCCACCGACTGTACTCACTTTGCATCCTCAGGAGGCTCGTGGAACAAACGTACATGCTTGGTCATGTCTCGTTGCCTGGTGAAAACTCTGGAACAAAACTCGCAATGGAAAATTTCAGACACCGAAGCGGTCGCATTCGGCCCATGGTATCGTTCCTGATGTTTCTGGAAATCTCTACGCTCGGAAAACTTCGCACCGCAATCATTGCACGTGAATGGCAGCGATAGTGTGTGCAGACGGAGATGCTTTTTGAGATTTTTATCCGTTGTGTAAGGCTTCTTGCATATTGGACACTTAACCCCGCCGGACTCAACTATCTTTTGATACTGACTGCTGCGTTGTTTTGGAGCTCCATCAATACCTGTGCCATTAACTGCTACACTAGTATTTCCCTTCTTCGATGATGTAGCTGGTAAATCTAACATATTGACAAGCTCTTCCGGAAGTCGTTCCACTGGTAGCACATGTTTAAACTCAGTATCAATATCTATTCTCGATTCTGTTTTAGGCATGTGATTGGAAGAGGACGCTTGTGCTTCATGGTTGGCACGAACTAGCGATCGGGGATGTTCCAAAGGTGCTCGATCCCGCGGATCGTTAGGTAGACGAAACTCGT